AAAAAAATTTTAAAGTTTTAATTATTATGTCAATGATCTTCAGTTTTATGGAGTGATTCAACAGAGATGGTGAAGATACAGCAAGTTACTGACTTACAGTAGAAATACAGGAAGTTACTGAGTTAGAGAAGAGCAGCTCAAGTACTGCCACTGCAACATTGTTCAAGAAATCATTACAAACTATGACACTGCCAATAGTGGTCAAAATAACCATTGTTAACACATGAAGGTGGAGGCACTTGTTGAGTGTCTCCACCTTCAGAGGTACAGTGGACCCCGGCATACGATGGCATCGCCTTACGTTAAATCCGGCATACGATACATTTTAATGCAAAAATTTTGCCTCGCCTCACGTTAAAAAACTCGCCTCACACGATTCGTCCGGGACACGTCCCACATGTGGCCTCAGCGCCAGTGTTCACAAGCCAGTCAGTGCGGTCGCATCTCGCATACATTCAGTACATTTCACACTATCCCAGTGTTTTTAGTGCTTGTAACTGCAAAATAAGTCTCCAAGGACCCCAAGAAAGCTTCTAGTGCCATCCCTGTGGTAAAAAGGGTGAGAATTAGTATGGAATTGAAAAAAGAGATTAAGGAAATGTGTGCAAAGTGGCTTGAAGTGCAAACCTTTATGGATGAAAATCACCCTGACACAGCTATTGCAAGCTGCACTGGTGACTATTACAATGACAATGTTGTGAACCACTTTAGACAAATCATAAAGGAATGAGAGGTACATAGTTCTATGGACAGATATGTTGTGCGACAGAGGTCCAGTGACTCTCAAGCTGGTCCTAGTGGCATTAAAAGAAGAAGGGAAGTAACCCCGGAAAAGGACTTGATACCTCAAGTCCTAATGGAAGGGGATTCCCCTTCTAAACAATAAGTTCGACACTCTCCCCTCCTTCCATCCCATTAATCATCACCAGATCTTCATTAAAGGTAAGTGTCATGTATTCTATTGTTAGTAGAGTACTACTAACTGTGCATGTCTTCTTCAGTTTGTGTGTATTAAACTTAATATTTCATATGGTAAAATTTTGTTTTTTCATACTTTTGGGTATCTTGCACGGATTAATTTGATTTCCATTATTTCTTATGGGGAAAATTAATTCGCCTTACGATAATTTCGGCATACGATGAGCTGTCAGGAACGGATTAATATCGTATGCTGGGGGTCCACTGTATATACAGGTAGTGCAGAGCACCTCTGTGTCCATGTATTGTTTGTAACGGCTTGACAAAGCTCCTGGAGAGCGAAGCTTTGCCACAATAAAATGTCACAATAGTTGCACTTGTTTCCTCTTACCTAACATATTGTCTGTAATTCAAACAACATTATTACAAGAGTTTTCCTCCCCGTCACCAGCACTCATAACTTGATGGATCACGTGTTAATTATCATGGTTATTTGTGTATCAAAGACATGAAATAAATGTGTGTTTATAATGAGGCTTCAACATACACTCACTATGCTAGACAACAAAACCAAATTTTATAAACTTTATATACCCAGTTTAGAAATTAAACTGATAGTTTTAAGCTCTGATTGCTAGTGCTTAATAGATTTTATTATTGATATTTTAGTTATTTAAGGCCAAAGAAGCATACAATATATATTAGCTAACAATCACAGGTGTTATATTATGCACAGATATTAAGTGCAATACCTGTGTTTGTTGTCAATTCTTACCTAACATAAATTTGTTATGTTTATGCCTAACAAAAACAAAACTTTACAGAGAGTTTTACAAAGGTATTTACACGAGTTATTTCAGGATGTTGACTTGTGTTTAGTGTCACTCTCTCACACCAGAGTTGAGCAGTACATACACGGGGAAGCATTGTACTCATAGGGGTCGTAAAGCAGCCATTGAAAAGGAGGTAACTGAGTTTGATCCAAGGGAAGGGACAGCTTCAATTCCCTGAATCAAGAGCCCTACAGCAGCATCAGGGAACCTCGCTGTCAACATGTCACATGCTACAAGCAATCATTTGTTTGTGTTCTGCATGAACGTTCATGTGTTCCGTCAGGTAAGCTTTCTTAGGAAAGTCCTCCTGGCACTCTGAACAATGGTACCTCTTAGTGCCAGAGTGAGTCCTCATGTGATTTATAATGTGTGATTTGCGTCTAAATTCCTTGAGACACGTTGAACACTGGTATGGTTTGACCTCAGTGTGAGTCTTCATGTGGTCAGTCAGATATGGTTTTTTTGAGAATTCTTTAAGACAGTCTGGGCACTGGAATGGTTTTTCCCCAGTGTGGATCTGCATGTGGAGAGTCAGAGAATATCTGCGAGTAAAGTCTTTCAGACAGATTGAACACCTGTATGGTCTCTCTCCTGTGTGAGTCCTCATGTGGTCTGTCAAATGTGACTTAGAGGCAAATTCTCTCTGACACTGAGGACACTGATGTGGTTTTGTTCCAGCATGAGCTCTCATGTGATGCCACAGAGATGACTTCCAGGAGAACTGTTTAAGACACTGAGAACATTGATGAGGTTTCTCTCCAGTGTGGATCCTCTTGTGTTCCTTTAAATGCGCTCGTTGCTGGAACTTTTTCAAACACTCAGGACACTGGTATGGCTTCTCCCCAGTGTGGATTCGCATGTGTTCTATCAGAGTAAACCTGAATGAGAATTTCTTTGGACATTCAGTACACTGGTGTGGTTTATCATCGGTGTGAACTCGCGTGTGATGTTTTAGTGTTGATTTTCGTGAAAATGCTTTGAGACATACGGGACACACATATGGCTTCTCTCCTGTGTGACTGCGCATGTGCTCAGTTAGGAATAATTTCTCTTTAAACCCCTTAAAACACTCCAAACATTGGTATGGTCTCTCTGTTGAATGTACTCTCATGTGCTTGGTGAGTCCACGTCTATTTTTGAAGAGTTTTAAACACTCCAAACATTGGAAATGTTTATCTACACTCACCTTCATCTTTTATGTTAGACAGGACTGATGGGAAATACCTTTTATTGAAGCTCTAAATACTCATGTTGGGTTATACTCTGTGATTCATGCTGAGCTGTTATATGTGCAATATGGGGTGCTAACAGCAACAGCCTGGTTGAACAGTGGAGCAATAAGGAAAAGGTGACCCCCAGGCCAGCCTGTAAATGACACTATGGCACTTGTTGACACAGTGATGTGTGACACCAATTTCTGACACCATATACCAGCAGTAACTTCCCACACTTAATGATTGTGTATGGCACTTGTGGCTGAAGTCTATGACACCACCAGCTGCTGACACTACCAGCTGCTGACACTACCACCTGCTGACACCAGTATTTGACATGACCAGTAGTTGACACCACCAGTAGCTGACACCACAGCTGCAAAAGGGAAAATATACACATAAGCTGCAACAGAATGCAATTTAAAACACCTGGGCTACCCTTAATCTATCAATAAATAAATCTATCAATTTGCATATGATACACGGTTTGTACACAAATGTACATCATTACATGTTGGCCATGGCAACTCCCTCAGTTATAGAGAGCATCTTGATCAATTGATTAATTGATTAATTGATTAATCTATACAGATATTGACGAATGTTTTAATAATTTTCTAAAAAAGACCCAATGCCTTTATAACAAGCACTGCCCTAAAAAAACTAAACAGATGACAGCTAAGAGACTGAACAGTCCCTGGCTAACACCCAGCATTCTCAAATCCATAAATACAAAATACCGATATGAAAAACAGTACAGAATGGGTCACATAACCAGAGACCAAACAAAACGTTACTCGTCAATCCTAACCAGCCTGATAAGAAGGGCAAAAAAATTTTATTATGAGAACAGATTATCCAACTTACGAGGTGATATAAAAAAGACCTGGAAGACCCTATCAGAAATTCTGGGAACAAAAAAGATATCACGACATAGCGAAATAAAATTAGCAAAATCAGATGAACCCCAACTCCCACCAACAGAAACAGCAAACAGACTCAATGATTTCTTCTCCACTATAGGTCAAAACCTTGCCAATAAAATCCCAAGCTCAGATACCCCACCAAATGACTACCTCACTGGCAACTACCCGAACACACTGTTCCTAGCTCCGACTAACCCATACGAAGTCTCCCTTATTATCAATGCAGTGAAAAACAAGGCAGGAGATTTAAATACCTTACCACCCTTTATATACAAAAAAGCGTCACAAGTACTATCACCAATCATTGCAACACTCTTTAACAAATCCATTGAATCCTCCACCTTCCATACAGTTCTCAAAATAGCAAGGGTCACCCCGATCCATAAAGGAGGAGACCAAACAGAGTTGAATAACTATAGGCCAATATCCAATTTACACCCTCTCTCAAAAATCTTCGAAAAATTAATTCATGAACGAATCTACTCCTACTCATCTCCCAAAACATTTCAACCCCTGCCAATTTGGATTCAGGCCTAATAAAAAATACTAATGATGCTATTATTACACATGCTAGAACATATATACACTGCAATAGAGAAAAAAGAAGTCCCACTGGGGATCTTCATTGACTTACATAAAGCTTTTGATTTCAGTTGACCATGACTTGCTCCACGTAAAATTGTCACACTATGGTATTAGAGGGCACTCCCTCAACTACCTCAAGTCTTACCTCAGCAACAGAAGCCAATATGTGTACGCAAATGGGGCAAGCTCTTCCGCACAACCAATTACAGTTGGTGTCCCACAGGGAAGTGTCCTTGGCCCTCTTCTCTTTCTCCTACACATAAATGGACCTACCAAATGCTTCGCAATTACTCAAACCCACACTTTTTGCAGATGACACTACATACGTCTTCTCTCACCCGAGCCCAGTCACGCTAGCCAATAATGTACACCGAATTACAGAAAATATCTACCTGGATGAGGACTAACAAACTTACACTAAACATTGACAAAACCTACTTCATTCAGTTTGGTAACAGAGCTACAGATGTACTGCTTAACATAACGATAAACGGATCACCTATCACAAAGCTAACAGAGGGAAAATTCTTAGGAATCCACCTCGATAATAGACTCAAATTTCATACACATATACAACAAATTTCTAAGAAAATTTCCAAGACTGTAGGCATACTATCGAAGATACGGTACTATGTTCCACAGTCAGCCCTCCTGGCCCTTTATCACTCTTATTTACCCCTATCTCACCTATGGAATTTGTGCATGGGGTCTCAACAACAATTAACCATCTCAGACCACTAATTACCCAACAAAAGGCTGCAGTTAGAATGATAACAAAATTCTCACTACAGGCAGCACACTCCACCAATATTCAAAACACTCAACCTACTCACCATACAAAACATCCATACTTATTATTGCACCTATTACATACATAGAACACTTAACTCTGATATTAACCCTCCCCTCAAACATCTCCTTGCCAACCTCAACAGAACACATGACCATAACACAAGGCACAGATCACTCTTTGATGTTCCTCGTGTCCATCTCACACTATGCAAAAACTCAATGCACATAAAAGGCCCTAAAATCTGGAATTCATTACCTGTAAATATAAAAGAAACACTACCTGTTTATAAATTCAAGTCTCTTCTCAAAGTTCACTTACTCACTCAAAACCAAATAAATACTGAATAACTGAACCTTATAAATTGTATATCCAAAATGTTACTCACAATTCATATACATAAATTTACAACCTAGGACCCAATCTAACTTTGCTTATTTTTTTAATACATACCTAACAGCAATACATACTCCATTCACTGATATAACATGCATGATGCAACGCACATGACCTGTCTTTGTAATACTCTTTTGTTATTTTATAGTTATCTGTTTAAAACCATGTTCTAATCACTAATTTCATCATTGCTTAAATTAAACTTAAAATTTTACCCCCCCCTAACCCCTTCTAGGAAGGGCCCTTTTTAGATGATCCTTCCTTTTAATTTTTTTTGACTCATTTCTAATGTCAAAAAAATTTATAAAAGGTAATTTGGTCCC